ATTGTCCGATGATTTCCGCATTCTTTTGGGTCACCTCTCTTTGGAATGGGCATAAAGTTCTTTGGAACTGAAAGGTAGGTAGTTCAAATCCACTAGTTGCTCCTTTGAAACCCTATACAGTGTTGCTATGAATCAGAACCAACACAACAGCATTAATTATCAACAACAATAACATAAACTGTAGCATGTTCATACAACAGACTATTGTTCAGATATAAAAAAGAACTATTTATCTACACAACATGGATGAATCTTAAAAAGCATTATCCTGAGTGAGTGCAACCAGACATGAAAAAGTATATAAATTTGATTCCATTTTTATGAGAAAAATTGAGTAAACAATAAAGCTGTGGTGAGAAAATGAGACTAAATAAATATTTTGGCAGGAGTCAGGGTAAGTAGAAGTAGATCACTTGGGAAGTGCCCTACAGGAACTTTCTGGAATGATGACATTTTCTATATCTTGATAAAGGTATAGGCTACACAGATGTGTGCACATGGTAAAACTGATCAAACCAGACATTTAAGATTCTGAACATATCACTAAATTAGATCTTTAAAAAGCTGTATTTAAAAACTAATTGGGTGCATTAAAATTAAAAGTCTAAAACATTTCTCATAAATCCAATAATTCAAGATATTGAAGACTTTATAGTCAAAGTATTTTTACATTAAACAATTTTTAATGAAGACTGCAACAAAGCTCTGTTGATACTGGTTATTGATTGGGACTTTAATATACTTTCATTACAGAGAATTTTGAGTGATTTTTTTTCCAGGTAATAGAATTTGATTATAGACAGTTAGAGATAATGGAAAGGAGTAGGCATTTGGGAGAAACACATAGCTGCTCTTTGTATCTAGTAAATGAAATTTAATACAATGACAGAAGACTACCACAACATATCTACATCATCAAATAAATAAAAAATTTTAAATGATTTTAGTAAATAAAGCATGCAAGTAAACCTCACCCACAGTCAGACAAAACTGCAAAACGTGCACTGCTCCTTCTTGTTTCAGAAAGTTCATAAAACGAAATAAAAGATCTTGTTGCTCTCTGATTTCCTTCAATTCTAACTTCAGCACCTTGACACAAGAGAGGCATAAGAAGTTAAGGCTATATAAATACTTTGCAGTATTATTTATATCAAAAGTAATATTAATTATAGCTGAAAGTACTTACAGATGGCTTTTTATTTCTAGGTTCTGCAAATTTTTGCAAGAAAGGAACCAAAGGGGAAGCAGGTTCAGTTGCTTTTTCAGGCTTTGAAAAGAGAAAATTGATTGATTCAGAAAGATTCCTGCTTAATTTGATGACATGAATAAAAGTTCAGTGTAATTTGAAATGGTTTCTAATATGTTCAATACTCACTGGACTGTCGTCTATGAAGATGATAAGCAAATGATTCACGGTATCCTAACAGAAAACAATAAACATAGGTAAAAATAATTCCACTATTATTGTCTGTCCTGAATTCTGAAAACTTTTATCCTATTATGAAAGTTTCTAGAAAAATGAAGGTATCAATGAAAAAGTGACAAGCATTTGCATTCGTGTATTACAGACAGGTACCATTTAAAATCCTGTAATGTTAGGGTTTCACCTCTTTGTGAAAATGGGCAGTGAAAACTGTTCTGATTTTGGCATTTGAAGTATTTATACAATATTCTGTTTCTTCAAAATCTTACTGGGTCAGCGAGGAAATCCAAAGAAGGAAGGAACACAGAACCAGACAGGATCTCTCTTATAAGTAAGGTCAAGGATCTGTCAAAAGAAATATAAATTGTATATATTTAGTACAATACAGCAATGTTTAACTTTCAAATACATATGAATTACCTGAGGATTTTGTTAAAAACGCAAATTATGAATCATTAGGTCTGGGGTGAGGCCTAATTTTCTATATTTGCAACAAACTCCCAGTAATGCTGCTAGTCCACAGACCACACTTTGAATAGTAAAGAATAAAAAGTCCTTACTTTGCAAAGGAGTCCTGTGGGCTAATGCACTAAACTGCAAAGTCAGTTTGAACCAGAAGGTTAGTGGTTCAAATTCACCAGCCACTCCTTGGAAACCCTATATAGGGTAGTTATGAGTCAGAATCAACTCGAAGCCACTTAACAACAACTTTGCTAAAAGAGAACTGCAATCTAAGAGTGGGGGAAAAAAGTTTTCTCAGCAGGGGGAACTTGGATAAACATCAGGAAATAGTTCCTGTCTAGTAAAAATTAAAATGTTTAATATATTTGAAAATTAATATTTAAAACTAACACTTAATGTTATAATATACCTTTTAATTATAACATTTAATGTTATAAATGGTTAAAATAAGTACTTTTAATATTAAAGTAAAAATATTAAAGATGACATTAAAAATTTTAAGTAAAACAATATTTCAAATATATTGCTAAAATAAATCATGGTTTATCTTCCCAGGATTATTAGGGTAAAAGTAAAGAGGTAACTTGTTATCTACACATGGTCCTGCCATGATGGCCAATTACTCTTCCCAGCTGAATACCTGAAAATCTAAACTTGTCTGGATGGTTTGATAAAGTGTTTATGTCTATGTGAGTCACAATGTACATGTCTTTAAGTAGGAACACCAAGGAAGTGTCATGATTTCAAACAATAAAATTAATCTTGCTCAGTCTTTTTCATTTCCTTTGTTTTCAAGAAAAACATTCTAATCAACACAACACATCATAAATAAGTAGCAACTAAAGTAGCATTTGCGAACTTAATAAGCTATATATTTTTAAATGAAGAACTATTCATTTATTTGGCTAACTTTTAGTGTACTCCTACTATGATCAGGAATAACAATATACATATGGCATGACATGCAAACAGTACACTAAGACATGTTCCAGTCTATTCATACCTGCAATCTGTTGCTTTAGGAGGCAGAATATAAGGAAAAAGTAGTTCAGTAAGCTTCCTTAAATAGTGTAATTCATCTCTTCGACTTCTCAAAGCCACATGAAGCTCTGGACCATATTCTTCTAAAGCAGCCTGCTGTAAAAACTCTGTATTTTTTACTGCAAATACAGACAAACAAATAAACTAGCTAAGCAACATTAAATAAATTTCTACTAACAAACAGACAATCATTTAACCTAATCATTCCTTTTTATGTCTTCCTCTCTTTCCAATATGCATTCTACAAAGAAGTTTTTCACAAACAGGATTTAAAAAGATAAATTCCTCTTTGCTGGAAGCTTTTCTACTTTGCAACAAGTTGGTAACAGGACCCTTTCCCGCTTAGCAAACAGGAATTTAAACTCATGTCAGCACCACCTTACAGATTATATTCAAACATAAAAGCAAATGAGATATTAAATACTACTACATCTTGTTACTCCACTGAAAATACAAATGTACCCTTCTCAAAATTCTTTCATTATACAAAGGGGCTTCAAAAGGTTTGTGAGAAAATTCCATTATCTGTTTAATTTTTCCATTAACTTTTTGAAGCCTCTCCATATCTTCTGCCCAGAGCCTACAACAGAGTGGGTGTAAAACTATGTAAGATGGAAGGCCTTTAACGGGCAGATCACTTAATAAATATTTCACTGATGCTATAAATAGTCTTACCACTCCTTTTTATAGACCTCAAATGACACGTAGAAAGATAAATCACATTTCCACCTTTCTACATTCAATAACAACTTTTAAGATAATGGAGTCTGTGTAGGAACCTTAACCCTAATTCAAAGGCATCTATTTTTTAACAGTTAATCTATTTTTATTAAAAGAATACACAGCAAATTTTAAAAAGGAAGAAGGTCAGTTTGCACAATCAGTGCTGTGGTTTCTTAGAAAGTGAAGGAAAGCCCTTTGTCTTTGAGGTTCAAATGTAGGATCAGCAAAGAAGAACTTAGTTATTACAAGAAACATATTTTAAATTATTTGTGAAACTTTTCTCTTCTAGGAACTTGGGTTACAGGTATTTTTTAAGTATCTATTGTAAGCATGGAATTTAAAATCAGAACACTAAACTAGGCTAAACTCAAGCTCTGTTTCTTTGCTAAGATGCTCTTAAACAAATTACATAATCCCTTTGAGCTTCAGTGAGGACATCAGTAAAATGGGGATAATAATTTGATCACTCAGGATCTTTATGACAATGAATCTGAAAGTAGCTTGGTGAACTCAAAAAATGAAACCAAATTAAGCCCACTGCCACCAAGTCTATTAGACTCATAGTGACCCAACAGGACACAGCAGAATTGTTGCTCAGGGCTTTCAAAATGGTAAATCTTTACAGGACCAGACAGCATCATCTTTCTCCCATGGAGTAGCTGGTGGGTTTGAACCACCAACCTTGTCATTAGTAGTGCAACACTTAACCCACTATACCACCAAGGTTCCCTGAACTCAAAAACGCTATATAAGTATCTTGATTAATAACAATCCTCCAATTTAATTTTGTTTACCTGTACCATAGCAAAATTGGAAAAATCATATTCTATCTAATTATATTAACAAAGTGCAACTATGAAATTATACCTAAAAATGATTGTGAATCAAATTTTTCAAATATGTTTACGAAGGAACTAAACAATTATTAACACTGAAAAGTCAGCATATAAAATACATAAATAATATTTGGTATGGTTAAGCATTCACAAATAATTCAAATGTTTAAATTAAATCTCAAGATAGGAATCTACTCAACATCTATTAAACATAATAAAAGGTGCAATGATTAAAATGCTCACTGCTGACCTAAAGGTCACTGGTTCAAACCTACCAGTTGCTACTTGGGAGAAACGACCTAGTGATCTACTCCTATACAAATTGAGGGTTGTAAATGTAAAGGTAGACGTTTTGTAACAAGGAGGGGAGTGATTAACTTTGCAGTCTAGGAGCAGAGGTCCCTGGAATTATCAAGGGAGAAGAGCAGAGAGCAGGACCCTACCCAGAGAAGCAGTGACTCCAGAGATGGAGGCAGAGACGATGATGTGGAGCGATGGAGCGGCTATGGACTTTAGACCTAGAGAGGGAGAGGGGCTGTGTGCTGACGACCGGGGGCCAGGCTTATAGGGAATACCCTTTGGTTGGTTGATGATGCATGGAGAGGAGTGTAACCATGGCAGTGAAATGATATATCACAGGGTGAATGTAAAACTAATGTTCTCCCATGTAAACTATCACATAATTCATAATAAAACATTTAAAAAAAAAAGACAGTTTAGAATGCCCCGTGGAGCAGTTCTACTCTGTTATCTAGGGTTGCCATGAGTTTGAATTGCCGTAACAGCACAGAACAATAAAGTTAAGAGAAACTAAAGAGATTGTGAAAAAGACAAAACGAGTATGGGGGGAAACCCACCTTAAATCAAACTGGAAATTGAAAGCAAAATAAAGATGATGGAAAACAGAACGTGGGTTAATCCCATGTAATCATCAGTGTATCTACTAGCTCATCAGTCAGCAATTTTCAAACCACAAAAAAAAAAAAAAAAAGTTGAAGGAATTCATGAGAAAGAAACATCTATAAGATGAAAATGGTATACCATCCTTCTGTACATTTATTATAGAATTTAAATTAAACTAATACTTTAACATTTCAAAAGGTCATGATGGCTAACACTTACATGAAGACAGAAAATTCCCATATTAATTTCTATTCTTAAGAGAGTAAGGGTGGAGAGAAACTTTTAATTATTATTACCTATGCATTACTTTTTATTTCTTCAATTATGCACAATTCTGAGACCAAATAATGTAGAGAACCAAGCCATACATTTAGGAAATAAAATTGTAAAACAAAAATTTTTAAGAAAAAAATGTTTTTAAAACTGAAATCCTTTTTATAAGTCTGTCCAAGTCATAATATTTAGAATATCAGGATCTTTGGACAATTTAAAGTCTTCTTAATTATGTCCTTTTAATTTTATGGATTCCATCAATAACAAGATTATTAATGAATCCAATATGGCATTTTGTGGTGACTTTATTTTAACATGAATTATAGTAGTAAACTAATAATGCCTTTCTTGCAAATTCAATAATAAATCTGGGTAAAATATATCTGTCTATTACTAACAACTGAAAGGGATTTCAGTTTAAAAGAATACTTGCATCATTTGTAAATAGATCAGTTAATGTATCAGTACTCTAGACAGTTCAGGTAAAACATTAAGTCCATAAAAACAGTATCATTCAATCTGTAGTAGAAAACTGCATTACCTTTTTGTCTGGCTTTAACTATCAATTCTATATGCTTCATTGCTGCTTTTAATAGTTTCTTGGTTACAATAGATGGAATATCTACCTAGAAAAATTCAACATTAAAATAAACATTTAGCATTTAAGATACATGGGTAGGGACACTATAATTGAGAAATTGGAACATATCTTAAAAATGAAAAGTAATCTCCCCACATCCCAAAAAAAATCCAGAGGGAATAGAAGCAAATACTGTTGAATGATGATGCACTGTGATTGTAATCATTGCAAGGAAATAATGAGTGTAAAACTGATGTTCTCCCATGGAAACCATCTTCAATTCACAATAAAAACTTTTAAAAAACATACAAAGATTACAGCCTTGGAAACCCTATGCAAGGTCGCTGTGAGTCAGAACCAACTCCATGGCACATAACCACTAACCAACCACCACTATTTACCAAATAAAGGCTTACAGAATTATCCAGGAACAATTAGTCCAATGGACTAAGGGACCACGTGCACATCCATTTCCACACCCTTGAAACCAGAACTAAATGGTGCCTGGCTATCATTTCCAAATGCTCTGAAAGGGATCACATTAGAATGTCTTGGATAGAGTGGGAGAAAATTGTGAAACAAAACTCAAAATCATAAAAAGACCACAGTAACTGGTTGGCTAGACACTGGGAGAACCCCTGAGATTGTGGCCCTTAGTTACCTTTCATGTCTGGAACTGAACTAAATTTTCCACCAAACAATATATAAGCCTATAATGCAACAACAGCACTCGGAGGTATGCACTACTTAGAATAATCACACATTTCAGGTCAAGAGGGCAGCATTTACCTAAGGACAAAGTTAAGAAAGAGTAGGAATGTTGCTGTTGTTGTTGTTAAGTGCCGTCAAGTTGGTTCCGACTCATAGCGACCCTGTACAGTGTTTCTGAGGCTGTAAATCTTTATGGGAGCAGAAAGCCTCATCTTTCTCCCGCAGAGCAGCTGGTAGTTTCGAACTGCTGACCCTAAGGTTCGCAGCCCGATTAGTAACCACTATAAAGGAATGGAAATAGGAAATACACAGAGCAAGTGAGGTAAGTGATGCTACATTGAGGGGACTGCAATTAAGGACATGAAACAAAATGTATATTAAGTGTTGAATGTAAAACTGAGGATATGCTCTGTAAACCTTCATCCAATTCATAATAAAAGTTTAAAATCAAATTTAAAAAATTAAAGGTATTATTTAAAATCTCTGAAAAATATATTTTAGAAGCACTTAATATTCTTTGTTGTTATTGTAAGGTGCCATTGAGTCGGTACCGACTCATACGGAGCCTATGCAAAGCAGAACAAAACACTGCCCAATCCTGGGCCAACCTCACTACTGTTGCCACATTTGAATCCATCGATGCTGCCACTCGGCCAATCCATTTCATTGGGGGCTCTTCATCTTTTTCTCCGACCCTCCACCACCTTACCAACATGATATCCTTCTCTAGTGACTGGTCCCTACTGACAATACAATATGCCCGAAGTATGAGAGACAAAGTTTGGCAATCCTGGCCCCCAAAGAACACTCTGGCTGCACTTCTTCCTACACAGATCTGTTGGTTCCAAGGGCAGCCCATGGCACTTTCAATATTCTCCTACAACACCATAACTCAAAAGCATCAATTTTTCTATGGTCTTCCTTATTCACTGTCCAGCTTTCACATGCATATGAGGTTATTGAAAATACCATGGCGCACCTTAGTCCTCAAGCTGACATCTTTGCTCTTCAACACTTTAAAAAGGTCTTGTGCAGCAGATTTGCCTAATGCAATATGTCGTTTGATCTCTTGACTGCTGCTTCCATGAGTGTTGACAGTTGATCCAAGAAGAATGAAGTCCTTGACAACTTCAGTCTTTTCTCCATTGATAAGAATGTTGTTTATTGGACCAGTGGTGAGGATTTTGTTTTCTTTACATTGAGATGCAATCCATACCGAAGGCTGTGCTCTTTGATCTTCATCAGTAAGTATTTTAAGTCCTCTTCACTTTCAGCAAGCAAGGTTGTATCATCTGCATATCACAGACTGTTAATGAGTCTTCCTTCAATACTGATGCCGTGTTTTTCTTTATATAACCTAGCATTTCAGATTATTTGCTCAGCATATAGGTTGAATAAGTATGGTGAAAGAATACAACCCTGTCACACACCTTTCTTAATTTTAAAACATTCAGTGTTCTCATGTTCTGTTTGAACAACTGCCTCTTGGTCCAGGTACAGATTTCTTGTGAGCACAATTAAGTGTTCAGGAATACTCATACTTCGCAATGTTGTTCATAGCTTGTCATGATCCACACAATCAAAAGCCTTTGAGTAGTCAATAAGGAATAGGTAAACATCTTTCTGGTATTTTCTGCTTTTAGCCAAGATCCAGCAGACATCAGCAATGATATCCCTTATTCCACATCCTCTTCTGAATCCAGCTTGAACTTCTGGAAATTCTCTGTCAATGTATGCTTGCAGCCATTTCTGTATTACCTTTAGTAAAACTTTACTAGCATGGGATATCAAAGATATTGTCTGATGACTTCCGCATTCCATCTGGTCACCTCTCTTTGGAATGGGCACAAATATGGATCTCTTCCAGTCAGTCAGCCAGATGGTTGTCTTCCAAATTTCTTGGCACAGATGAGTGGTGCCTCCTTCCTTGAAAGATTTCAATTTTTATTCCATCAATTCCTGGTGCCTTGTTCGTTGCCAATTCCTTCAATGCACTTTGGACTTCTTCCTTCAGTATCATTGGCTCTTGATCATATGCTACCTCTTGTTGTTGTTGTTAAGTGCCATCGAGTCAGTTCCGACCCATAGAGACCCTGTATAGGGTTTCCGAGGAGCAGCTGGTGAGATTGAATCGCCGACCATGCAGTTCAAACGGCTTTGTAGTCTGGCGTGTTTACCCCACAGCGCCATACCAGGCCTCTATGTTACCTTTTAGGTCATACCAATTGCACATCAGATACTTTTTCCATCACAGTTCATACAAATTTCTCTTAATATGCATACCTTAAATACCAATTCTTCTCACAAAATACTATCTTTACCCCTGACTTATAAGGAAGCTTCAATAATTTAATGAAAAAATTCCATTATATTTCAACTCAATTTTTCCATGAACTTTTTGAAACCCCTGAAATTTGTTTCTGTGTTCTTTGTTTTAAAATCATACCAAGGAAAAATCTCCAGTAACTTATCTCCTAAGGGCTTTAAGTTACACATAAACCTATGCAGAACCTGTACAAAGAGGAAGAGGTAGTTTGAACAGAACAATAATATACTGCATGCTTTAATACAAGAAAAGTGTGTGTCAAGGTTGTATCCACTCACCATATTTATTCAATATATATAATGAGCAAATAATACACGAAGCTGAACTATACAATGAACACATCATCAAGGATTGGAGCAAGGCTCATTAACAACCTTCAATATACAGATAACACGCTTGCTCATGAAGCACTTACTGGATCACACCCCAACATAAAGACAGGAAAAACTTCAAAACTGGATCAACAGTAACTATCATAATATACAGAGAAACAGCAGAAACTGTCAAGGATTTCTTTTTACTTGGATCCACAATCAACTCCCATGGAAGAAGCAGGGTAGAAATTAAATAATATAATGCACTGGGCAAATCTACTGCAAAAGACCTCTTGAAAGTACTAAAAAGCAAAGATGTCACCTTGAGGACTAAGGTAGTAGGTGAAGGAAGGATAAAAAAGTAAAGGAGAGACACACATTAACTTGTGAAGGGACAGAAAATATATAATAAGGTAAAAGTCAGCAAAAAATGATCAAGGTAAAGGAAGACGTTGGGAGGAGCACAAAAGTTAAAGGCCACAATGTTCATACTATTGCACACAGAATCTGTTGTGGCACTGTACGATAGAGCACTGGATGACAATGTCGGTTTGAACGACAAGTTGGCAGTTCAAACCCACCAGCTGCTCCTCAGAAACAGGGTCGCTATGAGTCAGAAATGACTCAATGGCACTTAACAACAACAACAACAACGAGTTGATACCTAGAGAGACAAGCTGAGCAGGTGTAGGAAGGCAAGTAGAACCACTGTTGCTGATAAGTGCTATCAAGTTGGTTCTGACTCACAGCAACCCTGTATGCAGTTTCAGAGAAGCATCTGGTAGGTCTGAACAATCCACCTCACGGTTAGCAATCCAGTGCTTACCCTAAAGCACCACACCAGGACCAATAAATATATACACAGATTTTGCAGAGGACATTTCTACATATGAAGGAGCCATGGTAGCACAGTAGGTTACGAGCTGGGCTGCTAACCACAAAGTCAATAGTTCAAACTTACCAGCCACTCTTGTAAAGATCTATAGCTTCAGAAACCCTATACAGGGTTGCTATGAATCGGAACCAACTTGACAGTACACAGCCATCCATGATTTGTATGTGCTGTAAATGTATCTATGAATATAGTAGAGCATTGTTGTTGTTGTTAAGTACTGTGGAGTTGGTTCCGACTCATAGCAATCCTGTACAGGGTTTCCTAGGCTATAAATCTTTACGGGAGCAGAATATCTCAACTTTCTTCAGCTGAACCAATGATAGTTTTGAACTGCTGACCTTGCAGCTGGCAGCCTGACTCATAACCACTACACTACCAGAACTCCTTATAGTACAGCATAGTAAGGGCAAATTATGAAAACTTTGTAGCCATAATCAAACACCTTAAGGGAATGAGTTAATGGGCCTGGGAGTTCAGGACCATAGTCTCAGACATCAGGTAAATTGGAATGACAATCCACACAAGTCAATGTTCTACAACCTTTGTTGGTGAACAATGACTGGGGTCATAAAAGCTTATAAATGGCCATCTAAGATACATTTAATCTCTCCCCATCCAGAGCAAAAAAGAGTGAATAAAATCAAAGACTCATGGAAACAATTAATTGAAAGGACTAGTAGACCACTGGAACTCCAGCCTCTACAACCCTGAGAGCAGAAGAACTACATAGTATCCAGTTACCACTACTATCTGTTCTGGAAGGGATAACAAAAGGAGGTCTTGAATAGAGTGGGAGAAAA